CCCTCTCCAGCCCGGAGCTTTGCCGCAGAGCGCACGGCGCGGCTCGCGGGCCGCGGGGCTCGCTCTCACGGGGCTCACCGGGGGCTCGCGTGGCCGTGGAGCGGGGGTTCCTGCCCTTTGGTGTTTGGGAACGGGTGTTTGGAAGTCTTGCCCCCCTCCGACGGTGTTTTGCCCGGGGCTCCCGAGGAGAAGGGGGGACCACCGGCTCCCACCCTTGGACACCTTTACCCTCCAGGTCTCCCGGTCGCGCCGGGGACGTGGGCTTGCCCCGGCAACCCCCTCAACTGCTGCAGCCGGCACCCAGCCCCCTCATTCCCGGTGCCAGCCCAACCGGGGCTCTCAGGCTGCTCTGCAGCCCCTCAGCTCTGCCCCCTCCCCCAGTCCTTACTGAATCCTCCCTCACCCGGCTCCACATTGCTACCAGCTGCAGAAGCCGGGGGACTCATGGGTTCGAGGGGCAGTCCGGACACCTACTGTCCTTTACTCGGCTGTGTCAGTGCCCCTCGCGTCAGGGTGCTCAGGGGCTATGTTGGAGCCCCCCGCGACCTTCCTTGGCAGGGTAGGATTCCTGCATCAGAGTACATCACTTTCAGAATATCCCCTTCCCCCACCCCCACCCCTACGCCACCCTATGCAGAGCTGGTTCCTCTCCTTGCTCCCTTCCCTCCCCCACCTTACCACGGGCAGCAGCACCCTGGGCTTCTCTCGTTAGCGTTGGGATGCAGAACTGTTTGCCCAGCTCCACGGCTTGGACCCTTCCTCTTTACTTTGCTCTTGGTACCTTGGGGACCGTCAAACCTCTGCATTTCACCGGGGAGCTCCGCTCCATCCTCTCCGTTGCAACCACCGGTGGAGACTTGGCAGTTAACTTTCCGGGCGGTACTAGGGGCTGTCGGACCCCTTCAGTGTCCTTAGCTTCTAGTTTGGATGGTGTGGGAATCATTTTTCAGCCTAATAAATAGGAATTCTCCTAACCGTGCCTTCCTTCCAACTCCTCCGCCCTATGCCCTCTTCCTCACTTACACTGCAGTTTTTTTTTTTTAAGCACGGGGGAATACATTTTATAACTGGAGGTTCCAACATTCGCATCAGTGTTGCTAATCAATGTCATCTGTTGGGGGGCATAGAAGAAACTTTGCATTGCATCTGGCCAAACTCAGGGGCAGGGAGAAAAAAATCACCGCTGCAAGCTCCGCTGCACAGGGGGAACTGCTTTTAATGCACAGTGGGCATTCAGAAGGGCAGGGATAGGAAGCAGGAAGTGTGGGTGAGGGCCGTCAGGGGCAAAGGGGGAGAGAGAGCTTTTTATAACTGTTTTCTCGAGTTTAAACCCAGAGATTCTTTAGAGGGGTATGTGTGCTAGGACCTGGGGTTGTTTCAGCTTTCCAAGGAGATTTCGGGTGTGGTAGATTTTTCACTGTCTCCCAGGCCCTCTTCCCTTTTCTCCATGTGCATTAGGAGATATGGGGGAGGGAGGCTTTTTCTTTCCTCAAAAAAATTGCTTTTGATGTGTAATGCAAATGGCTGGACAACATTGCTAGCCAGTACCAGGGTGGCAGAGCTGGGGATTCGGACTTAAGATGCTGAAGGCTTTTAGCATTTGTCAGTAACCCAGCTCTTGAAATACTGCAGCGTTTTCCTTTGGAACTCATGACCCATAAGGCCTTCAGTTCTCCCTGAAAGAGGATTTGATTGCTGTGTGTGGGGGTAGCGATGGTTTGGTGATCTGTGAGCATTCTGTCTGTCCTAGAAATCGAAGCTCTCTGGAGAGGGCTGCAAGCATGTTCCGTGTGTTCTCAGAACATCTGATGTGTGTGGATGGATGTCTCTTACTGGGATGTGGTGGGTATTGTAAATCGGTTCATGATGGTGCAGGCCAGTTAGTTACTGGTTTCTTGGGGTCAGCTGGGGCTCTGACTTTATATGCTTTTGGTTTTCATTTGAGGTTTTTTGTCAACTTTCATACAGATATTCGGAATCTTTTCTTTTAAATTAATAAAGGATAATGACTTGGGATATAGTATATTTAAAAACGAGTAGCCATGTAGTTGCTGTCCTGAAGGAGGACCCTCAGCAATTCCCTCCACCCCTCTCCTCAGGCCTGGCCTTTTCTTTTGCTTTGCTCTGCAACTAGAAGGGGACCGGCTGTGGTGCTGAATGGACAGCTCCCCGGCTCGTGTGCTGAAGTCCCAGGCTGGAAGGGACTGGGTCTGGTGTATCAGCAGCAGGCTTTCCTGTGGGTGTGGATCTGCCTGTGCATGCACAGCCGGGCTGTACTTGAGGTTGAAGGTCTAGTTATCACATCTTTCTGACTCCCACGTAACTCCTCATTTGGGTTCGCCCCTCACGGAGCAATGCTTTATAGGCTGCCACAGATCCATAGGTAAGGCATACATTCCGCTGACGGCATGATTTCAGCACATTGTTGTCATTTCAAATAGCAAGAAGCTGTTAATATTACAGCAATTTGGTCTTCGTCAGAAGCAGTTAGATAGCTTACTGAGTTCAGTTGAATATGAAGGGCATCTTGGCCAGGTTGATCTGAGTAGTGAGCTGGGAGAGGGGCTCAGCAGGCTAGCTTGTGGTCCATTGTGTCACGAGGGTATGCTGGTCTAAAATGTGTTTAAAATCATAAATTACGAAGGGGGAGCATCGCTGGGCAGTGGTGGCGCACACCTTTAATCCCAGCACTCAGGAGGCACAGCCAGGCGGATCTCTGTGAGTTCAAGGCCAGCCTGGTCTACAGAGCAAGTTCCAGGAAAGGCACAAAGCTACACAGAGAAACAAAAAAACAAAAAACAAAACAAAACAAAAAAAAGAAAAGAAAAGAAAAGAAGGAGGAGAAGGGGGAGCATAGAATTCAGCAAGTTCAGCCTCCTACCTCACCTGGGAAGCCTTCTTATAGGACAACTCTGCTTTGAATACTTGGTAGGGAACTCACTAACAACATGGGTGAAACTAGTTCATCCACAGTGATGGAAATACTTTAATCTCTCTTAAAAGATAGCATGTATAACACTGAAGGACATACATCAGAACTCCGTAAGGGGCAAATGTCTTTCACATGCTTGCGACTAAGAAAATTGAGACAACATTTTGTAGAGAATTGAGAAGATGCTCCACCTATTTGGAAAGAATGCAGAGAAACATGTCTGCCTGAAGTAAGAAAGGGGTTCTGTGAATGGAAGGAAAGCTGTCTCTCATGTGCTGGCTTATGTAACAGTCTGGGAAGCACCTGCTTTACCTAATGACTGTTTAACCCCTGTGGGCTATCCTGAGAAGGGCAGAAAGTCCATCTCGTAGAGAAAGCGTTAAACAGCTTATCCAGAGTGGGGGTAGTTGCCACAGTTATAAAAATAACACACACTGGTTGCAGAAACAGCATGGAAGAAAGTCCTGACTTTTACGTGCTCAGCAAAAGCGCTGGCCACGTGTGAGTGCACTTTTTCAGTTTCAAGGCGTCCTTGCAGAAGTTACTGGAGTGACAGTTACTTTCAAGCTGTATCTTCCCGGTTCTTAAACCCAGGGTCTCCTAGACCCGGGGACTCAGACATTAAGCTGTTGTACTTCCCTTTACTTTCCCCTTAATCCTTTAAACAATTTTCAGAAAACTCTTCAATGAATTCGCTCACAGAATAAACCTTTCTTTTAGAGTCTCTTGGCTAAAATGTAGCAAGTTAACTAGAGGAATAAAGACAATGTTTCTCAATCAGTGGCTTGATGACTAGTGTCACCCGGTGATCCTCATGTGTAAGGCGTTGTATTAGACATGGACACAGTTGCCAACTGGTACCAACTCAAACTATACCATGCTCAAGATCTGTGGCCGTGAAGAGCGAAAGGGAGAAAACAGAACTTTGGCCCTGTGCGCTTATTGACTGCAGAAACGTTGTATGACTGCCATGTTGAGCTCAGTGATTTTTTTTGACCTAAAAATAGTTTGTAAAAGGGAAGAAAATAAATATAGGAAAAGAAAAGAAAAAGGAGAAGGCCTCTGAAATTTTTCTGTCTCCATGAAGTTGCAGAGACACAGGGCACGTAGTCAAATACCGCCTTATGGATCGAGGAGAAGTGACCCAGCCGGTTGCCATAGTTACTTTTCTTACCTAGGTGAGATCTGTGGGCCTTGGAGTCAGACAGGACTAGGTTCAAGTCCTGAGTGGCTACTTAGTTGCCTTTTAACCTTGAGCAAGCTAATTTATCTGGGTTTCAGTTGCCGTTATCTATACAATAGTAATAATAACGTCTACACTGCAGTGTTTGTGGGGATTAAACAAAATCTGTTTCTGAGATTTAGCAGGCTAGAGGGCATTTTGCATGTGTGTCTCATTTAGTTATATGTACTGTACTAAGTTTCAGTG